CACTCGCGCTCGCCACCTCTCGCTCTTCTGCTCGCTCTCGTCGTCACCGTGCACGCAGAACGGTGCGCCGCAGCCATGGCCGAGCAGTGAAGCTTGCCGCCGCCGCTGTTCCTTGCCTCCGTGCTTCCCCGCTCCTAGCCAGCAGCACCAACACCTCCTCGTGGTTTCCCCGACCCCGTACCACCCACCCCCGGCCTCGCCGTCGCCGGGAGCTCCACCGCCACCGTGCAGTCGCCTGCTGCGGCCGCCGGCGCACGTGGCCGGGCCACCACGAGCCGCCTCGTGCCAAGACGAGTTGTCCCATGGGTGCGCGCGAGGTCCCTGGTGCTCCGCCGCCTCCCCATCGCCGCCGACGAGCCTCCCCCGGCCGGAAACAGCGAACTCCCGCGCCTCCTCTGCTCCAAATCCCGTCGAGGACCTCGCGCGACAATTCGACGAAAGTCAAGGGCCTATCTGCAATGTCATTGACTCATGTGAATAGTGCCGTAAGGACTGGTTTGTAATTATTTTGCAGGAACTTTGGAAATTCATAGTAAATCGTAGGAAATTCGTAAAATAGTAAATGAGGACTTTTTGGAATCCTTGTGAAATTTTCTATGCACTAGATCTATAATATGTCAGGTTTTAGTTTAAAGTTGTAGCTGTAAAAATGGATTTGTGCAGTTAGGGTTTGAATGCTAGTCTTATTTGTTTTTTTTATAACTGCAGTTGTTGTGCTCAAATAATTGTGAAATTTTTGTGGAGTGCTACTAAGATGATTGTTGTTGTCTGGTAAAAATTTCATGAGTTTAGGATTTATATTTTAAGAGTTATAAAAATAACAAATGCCCTGTAATGCTTTGCTCCTACTCTGAATAGTTCTGCATGTTTGAATTAATTGGCTCAGTTAAGTTATGAATCATGACTTGATGAAAATACATGAGTTGTAGTACTTTTCTTAAGCTTTCCAAAAAGTTAAATATCATGATTTTTGGTTAATTAGATCTTGAGTTATACTTGCTTAAATCCCTGTGGCTGTTTCTGCCCAAACCCAGACAGGGTTTCCTTGTTCTTACTGTGGGGCCTTCTTACTAGTAGAATTAGCTTTAGGTGTTTACAACAAAGTTGTTTACAATTTGCTAAGATTTATAAAAAGTCTAGAACCATATTTATTGGATATGCATAACTCCATTTATAGCTGTTTAAAGTGGCATGTCAGTTTCTGTCTATGTTTTTGACAGAGATGCAATTATTGGATTGATTGACCCTTCTAACTGTAGAATCATCTTAATATGAGAATAATAAAGTTGTAGGTAACTTCCTAAGATTTTCAAAAAGTTATGGTTCATGTTTGTGGGAGGACTAGAACTCCAGTTATGCTTCTCTGAAGTTTCTATCCGTTTTCTATACCACTTCTGTTGGGCTGGATTTGCAGTTTTGCTTGTGCAATTATTTTCGTGGTGTAAATGATGTTTGCTATGGTTGT